GTTGGAACATGCTACGTTTCACCCATATTTAGGGTGGAAGTTAGAAAGCCAATTTGATTGGACTACAACTTCCAGTAGGACAAAGAGCTGCAGGAGGAGGGAAAGGAAGGAGAAGCTTGTGGCTCAGGGAAGTCTCATGGAGAGGTGACCATTACAGTGAACTGCTGTGTTGGAGAGCTACCTGCTGTAGTGTTCGCCATGGTGAAAGACAGGGACCCTGGGCTGTCACATCTATACAGAATTCATGGTTCTGAGAGAGCATCACCAGTTCCTTGAAAGATTGCCACTACCGGTCCTACGTCACCACCAACTTGTTCCAGAAGCCAAAGAGTGGGAGAAAATTTAAACACAGATTACTTGGTGGTGTCACCTTACATTAGAATACAATATGGGTGACCCCTGTTCTGTGGAATCCTTTTAACCTGTTACCACTGGGCCAATCGCAAAATGACGGCCAACTCACATCAATCTGCCTGCGTGCCTGCGCTGTGGCAAGATATGTCACCGGTTGTGTACCTCGGACAGAGCTGATGACAGATCTGTGTATGAGCCCCTTGCCTGTATCATGTGACTGTTGTGACCAATCACAGCAGGTCATAGACAATTGTAAACAATAGATGGCTTCCTTTCATTCCATCCATTTTATACAATTATGTCACTAACTGTGACTGGTCACAGTGATCACATGTACAGACTCTGGGCAAATCACAGTCCATCTGTGTCATGTGATTAGCTGTGGCCAATCACAGCTGATCACAACAAAAATACCTGAATGAATCGATTGCATTAAATGCTTGTTTATAGCAAAGAAATTTTTTGCTATAAGCAATCATAATGTGTAAAAAAAAAAAAAAGAAAATACTGATCACTTCCCCAGAGTAGTACAATGTTACTACAGTAACATTACATTATACTACTCTGGTCACAGTGTGTTATGAAAAAAAAAATTAAAAATTAAAAAGTTTAAAAAATGTAACAAATTGTTTTTTTTTCATACTATCACCAGTCAGTATCCCTGATCACCGCCACACCAATTATATGATGACGCTGTACTGCACTGGTTACAGTATGTAAAAAAAAAAATTGAGAATTTTTTTTTTTTTTTTCACTTTCCAAAAAATTATGACAAAAAATTACAACTTCAAAAAACTCGCCATACTCCTTACTAAATACCTCGGACTGTCCTAAAATTTTTGGGCCTCAAGAAACTAGATTGTCCGTCAGTACGGCAGGACTGATCGATTTTCAGATATATACCATAGATTGTGGACGCTATAACTTTCCTACAAACTAAATAATAAATACTGATTTGGGTTATTTTCACCAAAGAAATGTATCAGAAAGCATCTTGGCCTAAATGTATGAAGAACAATTATTTATTTACAAAATGTTATAACAGAAGCAAAGAAAAATGTTTTTTTAATTTAGCAAAAAATAAAAAACCCAGTAGTGATTAAATACCACCAAACAAAAGATCTAGTGGTATGAACAAAATTATAAAAATTTAGTTTGGGTACAGCATTGCATGACCGCGCAATTGTCATTCAAAGTGTGAGAGCACTGAAAGCTGAAAATTGACTTGGCAGGAAGGGGGTAAAGGGCCTGGTATTGAAGTGGTTAAACCTGAATGCCCTTTGGGCCCTTTGGGTCCCAATGGTTAATGTCCACTGGCCAGTGGGAGGGGTATTGAGAGACTGAAGAACCTTCAGCATCCAGTACCGTCCTTTAGTTAGGGCCTCCTTAGTTTTACGGGTGCAGAGACAATTTTTCCTCTTACTGTCTACAGTGTTGTGCCAATTTATTTATTGTTTATTGTTATTACAAAACTGTTTTTTGTCGCCTTGTTGGGAGTATTTTTTTACAAATAAATCCTCCTTATTTAGCCTTGGTGTGTCAGAGGGGGTGACATTGCTGAAAATGCCATTATCACCAGGAACCATCAGTAGCTCCTTCAGGGGGTAAGCGTTACATACACAATATTAAGTATTATGCCTAGCATAGCATTGCCGTTAGTGATGTAAGCAGGGAACCCAGTAGGTTCATCTACCCAAAGCTTGCTCCACCTTAACCCTAGGTTGACATCTAAGCATCTTCTGCAGCATTTTTCAGAAATGCAGTACAGTCCATTTAACATTTTTCCATGGGACATGTTCACATCTGCGTGTTTTCACCCGGTGCGTTTTTTGGAAAGGGTCAGGGACTTTTTTGAATGCCAAATTTGTGGTTTTGGTTCTATAGACTTCAATGTAAACACTGCAGAAAAGCATGTATTGCATTTTTGCCACGTTTTTGATGCACTTTGTGTTTTAAATCTGCCGAGCAACAAGAAAAAAAAAGAAAAATGCAAAACGCATAAAAAACGTGTTAAAATGCAGGTGCCAAAACGCAACGCAAAATGTAATGCAGAAACATCTCAAACGCAACCTGCATAGGTGTGAACCTAGCCCAGGGGTGGACTGAGAACTCATGGGGCCCCCGGGCAATAGGGGATCATGGGGCCCCTGTGTCCTCTCCCACACTCAAACCACACCCAAAAAAGCCTATGAAAGGTACCAGGGACATCTCATGGAGTCCCCTACTGACCCCGGGCCTTCGGGCAGTGCCTGAGTTCTCCAATGGTCAGTCCGCCCCTGACCTAGACTAAAACTGTTTCCCAGCAGCATCCCTCCATCTGGGGTGTGATATACAAGATTGCTGTGCTCCACTGCACTGCACGGAAGAACAACAAATCGCTAAATAAATATGGCATAAAACGCATCCTAAACACATTTTAAGATGAAGCTATTAAAAATTTATGTTTTAACAAATCCTTGCTGATATACCCTCCTGGAGATCAGGAGCCTGACAAGGATTAACAATTAACTACCCAGATAAAACAAAGAATTACATCTCACAGTTAATAATTAAAGAACCAAATCTTACATTTTACTGTGAAATATTTAACATGTTTTAAGCAAACTCATGCATAACAGGTTTATTTTATGTAACAAAAGTATTTCTTTTTGTTTGTGCATGCAACATTTACCTGTCTATAGTGCCCTGAGTTATATTCACAGCAAGTATATTTCACTTCTGGATTATTTGTAAACAAATTAAAAGTGACAAAAGGCAGCTGCTATTAACCTCCTTGGCGGTATGATTCTTTCCGATTTTTTGTGCTGAAAGCGGTACCATTTTTTTTGTATGGAAATATGCAGTTTTTTATTGTAGACATTTTTTTGCATGGAATTTTTTATTGTAGGCCTGTAATTTTTAGGAATAACTAACTAAAATCTGTACGAACAAGAGTCTAGTATACATTCCGGATATGATAAAACTTGAAACCCGAAATCATAAATTATAATTTAATAAATAATCATAAAAAAATAATATAATAATAATAAATTTGATTCAATAATATAATTAAACCAAAACCACTGAAATTTGAAATACAGAGGCAAATTCGCACATCGCTGAGCAAAGTCGCAAAATCGTTTTCAGTGTCTGATGACGAATTTTCCTACAAATCATTATCACTCAATTCTGCAAGTGGTTCTGATTTACTATCGCTGTTCTAAAACCGCTTTTGACGTAAAGGGACGCTTTTTTTTGGACGCCATGGACTTTTCTAAGTTTCCAGGCAGAAAGAACATTCAAAATGCAGGCAGGGACAAAGCAGAGGACAAAGCAGTAGGGACAAAATATATGTGAAATGCATTGAAACAGCAATGACAGCAAAAATGACATTTTTTTACAAATTTCCCGCCGGTTTCCGGCGCCCGTACGTCCCGACGTCACAGGGACCGGAACACAGAAGCCGGATGCTGGCATCGGCCAGAGGAGATGGCCGGGGACACTGCAGGGGACACATCGCGGGAGCGAAGGACAAGGTAAGCTCTGCAGGGACTCCCTGAGCAACGCCGCATGGTAAGCCCGAGTGTAGCTCGGGGTTACCGCTTTTGGCACCGAAATTTTACCCCGAGCTACACTCGGGAATACCGCTAGGGAGGTTAAAGGCTACCACATCCAGTATAAAAACTACATAGATTACTTGCAGAGGTAAACAGCAGACTTTTAGGCCCTGATTTACGAAGGTGCATAAATGGCGTCTAGGCACATTTCTGTAGGCTAAAGTCTACTTTTCATTGGAATACTAAAGAAAGTGTCTAACAAATAGATGAAAAAGCAAATTTACTAATGGACACAATAAAGGAATCCGTATAAAAAAGCAGATTTCCTATAACCATGTCTAAAGGAACAAAAAATCACTGTAGAAACATCTTCACATTGAAATCTTTCCCAAATATCTGGACTTCACTTTAACCTCCCTAGCGGTCTGATTATGTCAGTATTTCTGTGCTCAAAGCGGTACATTTTTTTGCATGGAATTTTTTATTGTAGGCCTGTAATTTTTAGGAATAACTCACTGAAATCTGTCTGAACAAGAGTCTAGTAAACATCCCGGGTATGATAAAATTTTAAACACAAAATCATAAATTATAATATAATAAATAATCATAAAAAATAATAATATAATAATAATAAATTTAATTCAATAATATAATCAAACCAAAAACACTGAAATTTGAAATAGAGCGCCAAGTTCGCACATTGCTGAGTTCAGTCACAAAATCGTTTTCAGTGTCTGATAACAAATTTCCCCACGAATCATTATCACTCAATTCTGCAAGTAGTTCTAATTTACTATCGCTGTTCTCTAGCCGGTCTAAAACCGCTTTTGACATAAAGAGACGCTTTTTGGACGCCATGGACTTTTCTCAGTTTCCAGGCAGAAAGAACAGACAAAATGCAGGCAGGGCACAGGACAAAGCACTCGAGACAAAATGTATGTGAAATGGTTTGATACAGGAATGTTATACTATGTGAATTTAGTGTATTTAGTGAATGTCACTTTTAAAATTTTTGAATTTCCCACCGGTTCTGTCCCCGTACATCCCATCCTCGCAGGGACCCGGAACCTGGAAGACGGATGCCGGCATTGGCCAGAGGAGATGGCCAGGGACGCTGCAGGGGCATATCGCGGGAGCGCAGGACAAGGTAAGTGAAACAGGGAATCCCAGAGCAACGCTGCAGGGTATTCCTGAGCAGGGGCGGACTGACAACTCATGGGGCCCCCGGGCAATAGGGGATCATGGGGCCCCTGTGTCCTTGCCCAAACTCAAAAAAGCCTATGAAAAAGGTGCCAGGGGCATCTCATGGGGCCCCCAACTGAGCCCGGACCCTCAGGCAGTGCCTGAGTTTCCAAATGGTCATTCCACCCCTGTTCCCGAGTGCAGCTCAGGGTTACCGCTTTTGGTACTGAAAGTTTACCCCAAGCTACATGCGGGAATTCTGCCAGGGAGGTTAAAGAATATATTCCTTTTTAAAAAAAAATTTCAGTGGGTAAAAAATAGATTTTTTTAGGTAATTCATGATTATCCAACATCTATGCACTGATAGAAATGTGCATGTGCAGAACAAAATTTACCCGTCTACCATGGACGCTTTTCTTTTAGACAGTGTTTAACCACTTCCAGACCAGACACTTTTACCCCCTTCCTGACCAGGGCAATTTTCAGCTTTTAGCGCTATCACACTTTGAATGACAATTGCGCGGTCATGCAACACTGTACCCAAATGAATTTTTTACCATTTTTTTGAGATAGATAAAGCTTTATTTTGGTGGTATTTATTCACCACTGGGATTTGTATTTTTTTTGCTATGTAAATGAAATGTCCAAAAAATTTTAAAAAAAGTGTTTTTTTTATAAAATTTTGCAAATAAATAATATTTCATCATAAATCTTAGCCAAAATTTATTCCGTTATCTTTTTAGTAAAAAAAAAAAAAATCCAAATTAGTTTATAAGCAAAAATTATAATTTTTAAACATTTTTTTTTACATTTTTATTTTATTTTTTTATATTATTATTTTTTATTTATTTTTTTTTTTTTTTACATACTGTCACCCTAGCAGTACAGTGTCACCATGGTGACACTGTACTACTTGTGAGGGGTGATGAAGATTTTTTTTTTTTTTTTTACACTGATTGCTTTTACACCCGTATAGGATATAAAAGCAATCATTTCTCTTTCTCTCTGTGTGCATTCTTGCACTCATTGAAAAGAACTGAGTGAGGTGTGATTGGTCACAGTTTGTCACATGGTACAAGGCTTTTGTGAATAGCCTTGTACCATGTGACCTCTGTGATCATTCACAGATTTCACACATAGTAAGCAATGATGTCAGAAGTGACATCTTGCTTACTACTTTGCATGTGATCACTGATTGGCCAATCAGTGATCACATGATCGGGACCTCGTACAGAGGTCCCGTCCGGAGGACACAGCGGGCACCGGATCGCGGTGCTGCACGCTCCCAGGGAGCGCGCACAAGCAGGGTGCGGGGAGGCCGTTTATAGACGGCCACCCGACCCTGCAGTGCCAACGTCCGGCCGTTTATATACAACGGCCGGTCGGGAAGTGGTTAATAGTAAATCTCTGTGTGGAGTCCTCTGTGGAGTCCTCTGGAAGATGGCAATCGCGCCCATCAACTGAGTTTCACAAACAGCACTATTTTTAGCTAGGCATATCTTTATGTATTCTAATTTGTTTTCCTTAGTTTTATTGATTCTATTTTTGTTTCTTATCCTTTATAATGATTTTCTGTAATGGTTTTACATATTTTGAAGATCTAGATAATATATATTATTGACAGCTAAATCTAAAAATAAAGGTCGGCAATTAAAAAATAAAAAAAAACAGCCAATTAAAAAAATAAAAAAAAAACGGCGTGGGGTCCCCCCTCCCATCCATACCAAGCCCCTCGAGTCTGGTATGGATTTTGAGGGGAAGCCCCACGCCAAAATTAATACAAAAATGGAGTGGGGTCCCCCCCAAAATCCATACCAGACCCTTATCTGAGCATGCAGCCTGGCAGGTCAGGAAAGGGGGGGGGAGCAAGCGCCCCCCTCCTGAACCCTACCAGGCCACATGCCCTCAACATTGGGGTGAGGGGGGGGGGCGGGGGGCTCCGCTCCAAAGCACCTTGTCCCCATGTTGATGGGGACAAGGGCCTCTTCCCCACAACCCTGGGCTGTGGTTGTGGAGGTCTGCGGGCGGGGGGATTATGAGAATATGGAAGCCCCCCTTTAGCAAGGGGGCTCCCAGATCCCACCCCCCATGTGAATGAGTATGGGGTACATGGTACACATGTCTGTTTACACCCGTCTCACATTGTAATGACCAATTCACACCTCAGGCCTCTCCCACCCTTGGAAACAAAAGATATGTTAATGACCATTCACACCTAAAATTCCTCATGAAGACCCCCTGCCAGGTGACCTTCATGACTCACTCCACCAGACACCTTTCCCACCCTTGGAAACAAAATAAATGTTAATGAGCAACTCACACCTAGTTAATGTCAACACATACTGCTGTCTCTGCTGCTACTCTCTGTATTTCTCTGAAACAGTCTGAAATAGTTAATAATGTACCACTTTTTCAGTGCATTCTGGGCATTTGGGAGGTTTTCCTATGCTTATCTTTAAAAAACGCCTCTAAACGCAAACGCACATAAACGCGCATAAGCACGTAAACAAACGCGGCTAAACAGACATTATTTAACCTACGTTTTTCAGCAGTCAGTTTCCATCGTTCAGAAGTGTCCCATGTACATGGGGCCTTAAACACAAAATCAAAAATGTAATATATCGCAGCTTACCAATCCTTTGATTAGATGGCTGCATTAGTTTTCATTTTTTGAGGCATTTTTCCCTCTATTTCCACCTGGTTACCTGGCCAGTAACACACCTCCTGTATTACAGTGCCCCCACTCTAGATGAAGGTGCACAGGGGCACCTTTGGACAGCTGCCTTGTCAGTCTGGGGGAAGGGGAGTGGTTGATAGACTAGCAGATTTAGATATACCAACAAATTGAAGCCAAACTCCAGCACACACTGCAGTTACATAAGCAGTTGCTTTAATGTTTTTTTTTTAATTTATTTTGAGATAAAGGTTTTACATCAATAAATAAAAGCTGATCATTGTAAGCACCCCTGTCAGTGGTAAATGGTTTGTCTCAACACTCTTAACTGATACATTTGCAGGAGAGCTTGTTCTGTTGAAAAACAAACTTACTGGATGGATCACTAGGTGAGAATAAAAGAAAGAAAGCCTAAAAAAAAACAAATACAGCCATCACATCCCAGAATGGGTAAGCTGCAATCTAATAAATGTTTGCTTTTGGGTTTCAGAAAAAATCCAGCACCCATGATATCTTTCCTTATACAGTGTATGTATATAAAGAAACCTCATCCAGAGAGTACTTCACACTTATGTTAACCTCCCTCTGGCGGTATTCCCGAGTGTAGCTCGGGGTAAAGTTTCAGTTACCACCACAAGCGGTAACCCCGAGCTACACTCAGGAATGCCCTGCAGAGTTGCTCCGGGATCTGTTCTTCTCTTACCTTGTCCTGCGCTCCCGCGATGTCCCCCCTGCAGTGTCCCCAGCCATCTCCTCCCGGCCGATGCCAGCATCCGTCATCTGGGTTCCGTCCCCTGCGACGTCAGGATGTATGGAGGACGGAACAGCGGGAAATTCAAAAATGTGAAAAAGTGACATTCACTAAATACACTAAAATCACATAGTATAAAACATTACTGTATCAAACCATTTCACATACATTTTGTTCGAGTGCTTTGTCCTGTGCCCTGCCTGCATTTTTACTGTTCTTTCTGCCTGGAAACTGAGAAACGTCCATGGCGTCCAAAAAAGTGTCCCTTTAGGTCAAAGCGGAGCCCACCACCCCCCCCCCCCCCCCCATTTGGTTTTAGACCAGCTAGAGAACAGCGATAGTAAATCAGAACCACTTGCAGAATTGAGTGATGATGATTGATTTGTGGGGGAAATTCGTCATCAGACACTGAAAACGATTTTGCGACTTTGCTCAGTGATGTGCAAACTTGGCGCTATATTTCAAATCTCAGTGTTTTTGGTTTGATTTATATTATTGAATTAAATGTATTATTATTATATTATTTTTTATAATTATGTATTAAATTATAATTTATGATTTCGTGTTTCAAGTTTTTCATATCCGGGATGTTTACTAGACTCTTGTTCGGACAGATTTCAGTGAGTTATTCCTAAAAAATACAGACCTACAATAAAAAAATACATATTTCCATGCAAAAAGCAATGTACCGCTTTGAGCACAGAAATACTGACATAATCAGGGACCACTAGGGAGGCTACAGTATCAATGCCATTACAGAAACAAGCTGGGAATGGGACTAGTCCTCAACTTAATACAATTTCCTGGGAAATAGTTCTGCTTCTTTCAGTACAGATGACATGATACAATCTAAGATAAAATAAAAATATTTTAAAAATCACAAATATTTATTTATTTTATTTATTTATTAAAGGTTTACTTATATAGCGCCGTCAATTTTACACAAGCACTTTACATATATATTGTACATTTTCACATCAGTTCCCTAACCCTCAAGGGGGCGTATACAATCTATGGTATACATAAACAATATATCAAAAAGATCTGGGAACCACTGAGGTTGAAGATAATTCAGCTGCTCTCCCTCTGGAGACCCCTCAGAGCCACATGTTTTGTATATAGATTTTAATTGTAACATTTCATGATTATAGTCACACATTTGGAGTTGTCAAGCAGCAATAACTTTTGAGCCCTACATGGACACTTGGAGCTACATCAGAATATAGATGTATGGGGGCCAGGGGCGGACTGACCATTTGGAAACTTGGGCACTGCCCGAGGGCCCGGGGTCAGTAGGGGGCCCCATGAGATGCCCCTGGTACCTTTTTCATAGGCTTTTTTGGAGTTTGGGCAAGGACACAGGGGCCCCATGATCCCCTATTGCCCGGGGGCCCCATGAGTTGTCAGTCCGCCCCTGATGGGGACATTGGAGGTTATTAGGATAGATCTGTTTGGTTTTAACCACTTCAATATTTTTCGTCCCCTTCCTGCCCAGGCCAATTTTCAGCTTCCAGTGCTCTCACACTTTGAATGACAATTGCACGGTCATGCAATATGTACCCATATTACATTTATTATTTTTTTTTCACACAAATAGAGATTTCTTTTGGTAGTATTTAATCACTACTGGGTTATTTATATATTTGCCAAATAAATGAAAAAAAGATCACATATTTTGAAAAAAAATACTTTTTTCTTTGTATCTGTTATAAAATTTTGCAGATAAATAATCTTTCGTCATAAATTTATGCCAATATATCTGAAAATCGCTAAATCCTGATGGATTGATGGCCTATCTCATTTCTTGAGGCCTGAAAATGCCAGGACAGTACAAATATCCCCCAAATGACTCACATTGGAAAGTAGACAGTCCGAGGTAGTTGGTAAGAGACATGGTGAGTTTTTTGATACTGTCACTAGAGATGAGCGAATCGAACCAGGCGAACCGGAATTCGATACGAATTTCAGGAAAAATTCGATTTGCGTCGAATCCGAATATTTGCCTACTTCAGGTGCGCGAATCGGATTTTTCTTCCGATCAGCCGGCAAAAGTGTCCCTGCAGAGAGCTCCGCTATTTCTGACAGTTCTCTGACAGAAGGAACACATGTACAGCGGTTGAAACATTGTATCTATTAGTTTCCATTTAGGATACAGATGTTTCAACCGCTGTACATGTGAAGAAGCTGTCAGAGAACTGTCAGAAATAGAGGAACTCTGCACATACACTTTTTGCCGGTTTGGAATTCTTATTTTCATCCTACTTCTTCTTCTACTTCTTCATCCTCATCCTCATCCTCAGAAGAAGAAGAAGAGGATGAGGATGAGGAAGAAGAAGAAGAAGTAGGATGAAAATAAGAATAATTCCAAGCCGGCAAAAAGTGTATGTGCAGAGTTCCTCTATTCTGCAGATACACTTAGAGGAGCTCTGCAGATACACTTAGAGGAGCTCTGCAGATACACTTAGAGGAGCTGTGCACATACACTTTTTGCCGGCTTGGAATTAATTTTATTTTCATCCTACTTCTTCTTCTTCTTCTTCATCCTCATCCTCAGAAGAAGAAGAAGAGGATGAGGATGAAGAAGAAGAAGTAGGATGAAAATAAGAATAATTCCGAGCCGGCAAAAAGTGTATGTGCAGAGTTCCTCTATTCTGCAGATACACTTAGAGGAGCTCTGCAGATACACTTAGAGGAGCTCTGCACATACACTTTTTGCCGGCTTGGAATTAATCTTATTTTCATCCTACTTCTTCTTCTTCTTCTTCTTCTTCTTCTTCATCCTCATCCTCGTCCTCAGAAGAAGAAGAAGAGGATGAGGATGAAGAAGAAGAAGAAGAAGAAGAAGAAGAAGAAGAAGAAGTAGGATGAAAATAAGAATAATTCCAAGCCGGCAAAAAGTGTATCTGCAGAGCTCCTCTAAGTGTATCTGCAGAATGTCATTTATGGAAACAAATAGATACAATGTTTCAACCGCTGTATGGAGGGAATGTCCCAGAACTGTCAGAAATAGACTATTTATGACAGTTCTGGGACATTCCCTCCATACAGCGGTTGAAACCGCTGTATGGAGTGAATGTCCCACAACTGTCAGAAATAGACTATTTCTGACAGTTCTGGGACATTCCCTCCATACAGCGGTTGAAACCGCTGTATGGAGTGAATGTCCCACAACTGTCAGAAATAGACTATTTCTGACAGTTCTGGGACATTCCCTCCATACAGCGGTGAAACATTGTATCTATTAGTTTCCATAAATGGATCCATTTATGGAAACAAATAGATACAATGTTTCAACCGCTGTATGGAGTGAATGTCCCAGAACTGTCAGAAATAGACTATTTCTGACAGTTCTGGGACATTCACTCCATACATGTCCCAGAACTGTCAGAAATAGACTATTTCTGACAGTTCTGGGACATTCCCTCCATACAGCGGTTGAAACCGCTGTATGGAGTGAATGTCACAGAACTGTCAGAAATAGACAGAAACTGTCACAGAACTGTCCTTCTTCTCATCCTTCTCCTTCTTCTCATCCTTCTTCTCATCCTTCTCCTTCTTCTCATCCTTCTCCTTCTTCTCATCCTTCTTCTCATCCTTCTCCTTCTTCTCATCCTTCTTCTCATCCTTCTCCTTCTTCTCATCCTTCTCCTTCTTCTCATCCTTCTCCTTCTCCTTCTTCTCATCCTTCTCCTTCTCCTTCTTCTCATCCTTCTCCTTCTCCTTCTTCTCATCCTTCTCCTTCTCCTCCTTCTCCTTCTCCTTCTCCTTCTTCTCATCCTTCTCCTTCTTCTCATCCTTCTCCTTCTTCTCATCCTTCTCCTTCTCCTTCTCCTTCCTCATCTCCAAGGGCATTTAAATTAAAGGTACAGTGTTCTGCACTAATTTAAAGGCTCTCTGAAGCCTAGAAACCCTTTTTATAAGTTAACTTCGTAGCGAATTAATTCGCATCGAATCGAATTTCTTCCTGGAATTCGCCGAATCAGCCGAATCGAATTTTTGAAAAATTCGCTCATCTCTAACTGTCACCAGTGCAGGACAGCCTTAACATATAACTGGTGTGGCACTGACACTGACTGGTGACAGCATGTAAAAAAATAAATAAATGAAACATTTTTTCAATTCTTTTCAATTTTTTTTATTACACCTTTTTTCAAAGTTTTTTTAACATACTGTGACCAGAGCAATAACATTTGACCATAGTAACATTTTACTACTCAGGGGAAGTGATCAGGATTTTTTTTTTACATATTATGATTGCTTATACCAGTGAATTTTACTGTTATAAGAAACCATTTTTACTGAATGTAATTGATTCATTTAGTGTTTACCATTGTGGTTATCTGTGATTGGTCACACTAATTACATGGTACAGATGGTCTGTGATTGGCCCAGTCTGTACCATGTGATTTCTGTGATCAATCACAAAGATCAACATAATAGTACACATATAACTGGTGTGGCACTGACACTGACTGGTGACAGCATGTAAAAAAAAAAAATAAATAAAACATTTTTTAAATTCTTTTAAATTTTGTTTTAATTACACCTTTTTTTTTTTTAAAGATGTGTTAACATACTGTGACCAGAGCAGTATAATTTTACCATAGTAACATTTTACTACTCAGGGGATCAGGATTTTTTTTGTTACTTATTATGATTGCTTATACCAGTGAATTGTAATGTTATAAGCAACCATTTTTACTGAATGAAATTGATTCATTTAGTGTTTACTGAATGAAAATCGATTCATTAAATAAGTATTGTATTAGTTATCTGTGATTGGTCACAGCTAATCACATGGTACAGATGGTCTGTGATTGGCCCTGTCTGTACCATGTGATCACTGTGATCAATCACAAAGATCAACATAATAGTACACATATAAACTGGTGTGGCAATGACACTGACTGGTGACAGCATGTAAAAAAAATAAATAAATGAAACATGAATGAAAACCCTCCACTGTGTACAATTGTCAATCACAGCAGACCGCATGGTACCGATAGTGGCAAGTACACTGATTGTTCATCCGCTGTGTCCGGTATGCACGGCAGGTGACAGATCGCGCTGCAGCATGGTCCGTATGGCACCCTTGAGGTGCATCCCGGGAGGAAGTCATATGACATCCATCTGGAACAGTGTATGTCCCGCCTGGCCGTCATTTGACTAT